AAATTTGCAAAAATAATGCTAATGTATATTTTCTTGTATATATAGTAATATTTTGATATAGCATCATCCTTAAAATTAATTTGCAGGTTGTCAAATGATGAATTCAATTTCCGTGAATCTATTACCTCCTTCATATTATAAATGATAATAAAATGATGAGCCAATAAAGTAAATTTTTAGTATAAAAAAAGATTTATTAAAATCTTACTCATGCTGATGGAAAAAGTTTAAGATACGTTTGTCTCAACTTATCGACGCACACCATGGTAACCACAGCATGTGGAGCTGCTCTACTATAACATGGCAAAAATCCACGCCACAGCGATGGTATTCCTTCAGTTTTTACTACGGTAATAATTGCAGTAATAATTCCTGGTGGTTTCGACGGTAAAGCCCAACTTTGTATTCTGTCGTATATAATTGTAGATGAGAATATCAATCAAAACCATTATATTAATTTATTAAAATCCCGATAATTACCTAGTTTTAGCTACATCTACAGGGAGTGATGTTACAGTCATTACAAAACCAGATATCATCCCTGAACAAAATGACAATAATATGCCTTCTTCAAATAAACCTATTACGGATTGAATTTATTTAATTTTAAAAATTTGTTTTATTTTTCAAGATTTTGGATAATTTAGCAACGTTAATCACCAATAATCACGACAGTTAATACCTGTATCTTTCAACATCATTTTCGCTCTACTGTAAGTGCCTAACTGTGCTCCATTCACAATCGCTGCTCTGGTCATTGTTGGCATAGCTCCTCTCCATAATCCCCGAATACCTTCTGTTCTTCCAATGTCCATCAGTCCGTGAATGACATTTCTGTAATTTCGTCGCTTTTCTAAAAATATTCGTCCTTTGATTTTGTGTCTTTTTATAATTGTAAATCGGAATTACCTAAATTTTTATTAGACTTTATATAACTAAAATAAAAATAGAATCAACTAAAATACATACTCACCAGGTGGTAAGCGTATATCACCTATCATACGAACTAAAACCAAATCGGCCGGCGTTCCAAGAAATGCACCACAAATACCAGAGCACATTCCGATGCAGACCATTGTAGGATAATTTAAACGGCCGAAATATATCCTAAATTATATATTTGGCTTTTATTTGTAAACTTACAAATATATTAATATTAAGGTAATATATTATACAAATATTTTAATATTAAGGTTTTCTTCCTGTTTGAACATATTAGCATTTCCATCAAATTTATACTATTTCCAACTCAACATATCCAATTCAATACCACTTATAATTAGTCCTTAAAACATACATATACTTGAAACACAAAGTGAGATAATTTCATTATTTTTAAAATATTTTCTATCTGCAATCATTTTTTTAAACAAAATATTATTATACTCAATGATTTAATGTTTTCAATCATTCAATGGAAGTTCTTGGTAATTATTATTTAATTAAATTTGAAAAAAAAGTATGCTTACGTGCCCAAATCATATAACGTATTATATATTCCAAGTCTTGCCGTAGTATATGTTAATTGTCGTGTTATTGCTGCAGTCCAACCGATATAAAATCCACGTATTCCATATTCTCTAAAAGTGTTGCATATTGTCTCTTTCAAGGTAGTTCTTAAGATTTGCATTCGTACCTTAGTTGAATCCATGGGATGCGTTGAAGTTGCAGCCACGCAACTGTATGATCATATAATTTTGTTTTTTACATAATATTATATAAACATAAGATAAAGACAATTCAAAAAAATTAATTTTCCAATTAATTACTATTTTCTAAAGTTAAAATACAAAATAAATTAATTTTATCATTATGTTTAAAATGAAAAATAAATTTGAAAAATTATCTAAATTTAAATGTTTTGAATAAGGAATTACATATATTCGTTAATATTTTACCCTGATATCCCTCCAATAATGAAGTTGACATGAGGAGGCAGTCTTCGATCCTGATTAATTAGGAATAACATTGAACCATAGTCTGACATCACACTTTTGAAAAATTAAAGAAAATAATATGTCAAATCATATTCAAATTTAATCACATGTGATATTTGATTTCTACATCATAGCTCTTGAACATGGCATCTTTTGAAAATTAAAACCAATAACTTCGTATTTCATTCGTTTCGTATTTCATTGCAATGCAATAACAAATTTTTTAATAACAGTTTCGAATTTCTAAAAATTTAAATAGAGAATTACAAAGTATCGAGCTAAAAATTTATTATATTTTACATTATTGACACAAAAGTAATGAAGTCGACAGATACGTACATGTAGTAATCTAAAAAGTTGACAAGCACTTATCAGTAACTACATTCTTATAATCAAGAGAGAGTTTCGAAAAGAAATCAATGAGAGTTGGTAAATTCGTTTCTGACTTTACTCTCGATCTCTTCAGCAGAGTTTCATGCAATTTCGTCAAATTGTCACGTATCATTTTTAACGTAGTGATCATAGCAGAACTAACAGCAACCATTTTGCCGAAATTTCGAATTTCACCATCGTGTAATATTATACTAGATCCTTGTCGTTTTTTCCTATCATATGCGATCTGTAAATAAATAATTTATTAAAGATAACAGGATTATCGCAAACAACGAGCTGGTAAGTTCTGTTGAGAATTTACAATCACTAAAGATCATGTAACAAAAGATTTTCTTAAAAAGAAATTTTTTAAAAATTTGTTAAAAGATAATGAACAAACGTACGTCACACTCCTCGAATAAATTTTTAAGTTCTGGCCACCGATATGTTGGAAATTTACTGTGATGTAATTGAGTAATTGTGACCGCATATCTTTTCACAGTTTCATTCCATTCAGGTGTCCGTTCTATAAACAAGAAAGATGATCTTCTTCTTTCCAGGTGTGGGTCTATTGAAATATCGGCAATGAAGTGGTCACTCTCGACACTGTTTAGATATGAAACAACAATTTTCAATACTTCCATTTTTAATTAAAAACTTTTTTTTTGAAAGAGTATTTTATACGTAAAATATTAAAACTGGTTGTTACTATATTTTATTTCAAAATTTAAAAAGTTCTTCACTTACTCATAATCTCCTCCGATCGCGAATTTCATCCAATCAATGTAACTTTGGGCATACGAATAATAAGGAAATATGTTCAGTAACAATACTACCAGTTTCTCCTCTTGCTCATGAAAATAACAATAGCATTCAATGCTTAAGTAACCGAAAAATCCTGCATCTTGTATTTTTCTGGCAAATTTATTCACTGTTGGTTGTATCTTGGTAATATCCAATGAGGTTTGAGGTAACATGTAAATGGTTGTCGAATACGCGGCTTCTGTTATTGAAATATGTTTCAATATCACAAATATAAATTTAAGCTAATAAGACGAATATAATAGAATATAGTACCTAAATTTATTTTATCCA